TGTGTCTGAGATCACCATGTCTCAGCAATTGCTGTTACTATCATATAACCCATCGCACCACCTTTCCAACATATTATGGCATGTAAGGTGCATATTGCAACTCCTGACACAAATGCAAGGTGAACTTTCCCAGAGATCTGGTCCTTGCACCCTTAGTCAGAGGCCATCCCAAAGCTTTCTAACATATTGTTGAGGATCCCATGGACAGCCAAAAGGACAAGCAAATGGGTCCTAGAGCAGATCAAGCCAGAAACCTCCCTGGAAGAAGCCAAAATGACCACACTGAGGCTGTCATATTTCAGACATATCATGAGAAGGGAGGACTCTTAGGAAAAGACAATAATGCTGGGGAAGGTGGAGGAAGAAGAAAGAGACGAAGGCTACAAGCTGCCAGATGGAGGGACTCTATTATGAAGGAGGTCACAGGGATTAAGGGTTGCAACTTGTAATGTTGTTTTAATCTGCTGTATGCCACCTCAATTGCACTGCAGAGAGGTGGCATCGTTGTTGTTGTTGTTATTATTATTATTATTATTATTATTATTATTATTATTATTATTATTGCAGGATTTAAGCAGAGCAGGGGAGGACAGAGGGTCTTCTTGGAGAGGTCTTGTCTCATCCATAGGGTCACCATGAATCGAGATTGACTTGAGGGCAGCTAACAACAACAAAAAAGGTGCATATTGCACCTCATGCCATAAGGACAAACATTTTCAGTGTGCAATATTTATGGAGGACTTGGCCAATTTGGGCTGCCAAGCCAAACAGCTGGAGACAAGAGCTGCACCACCAAAGATGAAGTGGCCTTTAGAAAGCATGCACAGCATGGAAAGGTTTGAAGAAGTAGTCCATCATCAAATAATACATGCGGAAACCTGGGGTTGCAGGCCATACAGTCCACCAGGATGCCCAAAATAAGGAAAGAATCATCTTCCAAATATTGTCTGAGATCCTACATGGTTGTGCACAGAGTAAGAATTCTGCATGCAGAATTCTATTGTATCTCCCTGTTCACCATCCACAGGACAATTTGTTTCACTGTGATAGTCTAGCCATGGCTATTCCATTAAGCACAGGGTACCATAGAAGATCTACACAAATTCAACCTAGACAATGAGGAAATTGAAATAGTAAGAGTTCCCATACCTTGGGTCAAAAATTGATCAGAATGGAGTCTGCAGTCAAGAAGATTTTGAATGGGAAGGGCTGCTGTGAAAGAACTAGACAAGATCCTAAAAGGTAAGGATGTATAACTGAGTATGAAAGTTAGAATCATCCAAGCCGTTGTATTCCCCACCACCATGTACAAATACGAGAGCTGGACAGTTATGATAGGAGGAAAATCAATGGATTTGAGAGAATGTGGGGCTGGAGAAGAGTGTTGATACTGTTGATGGTCAAACAAACAAACAAACAAATGGGTCCTAGAACAGATCAAGCACAAACTCTCCCTGGATATTGATATTGATAAGTTGATATTGACTTATGGCACCCATATTCTAAGGGTTTTTTGTGGTTTTTTGGCAAGTTCTACACAAAGAAGGTTTGTGATGGCCATCCTCTGAGGCTGAGAGAGGGTGACTTGCCCAAAAGAATGGGGAGAACAGCTATGAAAGAACTAGAAAAGATCCTAAAATGCAAAGATATACAACTCAGCACAAAAGTCAGAACCGTATAATCCATTGTCTTCCCTATTCCCATGGATGGATGTGAGAGCTGGACAGTCAAGAAAGAAGATAGGAGGAAAATCAAGAGAATGTGGGGCTGGAGAAGATGCTGAGGATCCCATGGAGAGCCAAAAGGACAAACAAATGGGTTCTAGAACAGATCAAGCTGGAAACCTCCCTGGAAGCCAAGATGATCAAACTGAGGCTGTTGTACTTTGGACACATCATGTGAAGGCATAAATCACTGGAAAAGACGATGCTAGGAAAGGTGGAGGGAGTGGAACACATTTGCTTGGAGAGTGATGGAGCCTCCTTCTTTGGAGGTCTTTAAACAGAGGCCGGATGGCCATCTGTCAGAGATGCTTTGATTTTGAGGTCCTGCATGGCAGAATGGGGTTGGACTGGATGGCCCTTGGGGTCTCTTCCAATGATTCTATGATTCTAGTAGAAAGAGAGGAAGACTGCATGCTAGATAAATGGACTTTTTATTAAGGGGGTCACAGGTATGAATTTGCAAGACCTGAGCAGAGCAGCAGAGGACAGGGGGTCTTGGAAATGTATCATTTACAGGGTCACCATGAGTCCGGATTGACTCAAAGGTGGTTTACAACAGCAATGAGTCAAATAGAAGCATCTGGCTATGTCTCCATAGCAAGACGGAGGGCACTTTCCACCAAGATCTGCCAGAGTCCTTTGTAGTGGGTCTCAGCAGATGATGTCCTCATTCTCTATCTGGCCCGGATCCCCATATCTTTCCACAAGTGATGAAATGGCTATTGGGGGCAGCTATTATAGTGAGAGAATGAGTCTGGGAAGTGGGGTTTAGTTGTTTTAGGGAAAGGAAGGCATATAGTGGGCCCTTGGTATTTGCTGGAGTTTGGATTCAGGACCCCCATGGACCCCAAAATCTGTGGCTGCTCAAGTCATATTATATACAATGGTGTAATTAAATGGTCTCCCTTGTATAAAATGGGAAAATCAAGATTTGCTTTTTGGATTTTTGAAAAATATATTTTTAAGATGTGGGTAGTTGAATGCAGTGGATGCAGAATCCATGGATATGGAAGACTGACTATACCAACCTTCACAATGCCCCCCTCAAAAATATATGCATATACATACAGAAGCGTAGGTTGGAATTACAGTCAGTCCTCTGTATCTATGGGTTCTGCATCCATGGAATCACCCGTCCAGAGCTTGAAAATATTCCCCCAAATCCAAAAACAAGCCTTGATTTTGCCAAAGCCAAAAAAAAAAAAACAACCTGCAGAACTCAAGACGTTTCATTAGACTAGTCTGGAAAAACTCTGAAATAAAGATCAAATGTGGTGTAGTGGTTTGAGCGTTGGACTATGGCTCTGGAGACCAGGGTTCAAATCCCTGCCTGGCCATGGAAACCCACTGGGTGACCTTGGACAAGTCACACTTTCTCAGCCTCAGAGGAATTCAATGGGAAATTCCCTCTGAACAAATCTTATCAAGAAAACCTTGTGAAAGGTTCACCTTAGGGCCGCCATAAGTCGGAAACAACTTGAAGACAACAACAAGAAGAAGAAGAACTAAGGCAGACCAGTACCCAAGTCCCCTTTGGGCCATGCAGAATATTACCAAGTTGATGGTGCCCTGGGAAGAGCCCAGTTCTGGTGACACAAGGCGATCCTTTTTCTGAATTGTAGTATCCTGGGGTTGCAATCCAAAATCTTCTTCCATTGATTTTCTCATTTGCAGTCCACATGCATCCTCAGCAGGCTGCTGCCCCAAATTTCCCATCTGTTCCACTCAAAATGTAATCCAAGCCATGCAATGTTCCATGATCCTTCCCTTTTTATGGGAATCCACATCCACAAACTACATTTCAAAACTCAACCTTATTCCCCCATATGTGTCTCATGTGGAAAAGCTAGAAATGCATAATAATTTGTGATTTCCAAGGCCTGTTCTTAGGACTAAGCCAAAAAGAAGCAGAGATGAGACCCAACAGCAACATCCAGCTTTGCGCATTGCAATTCCATTTCTTGGCCTCTGAGAAAATGGTCCTAATCCAGATTCCAGAGCTGTGGTCCATTCCGCCAGTCTTCTGGGGTTGGTGCTAACCAGCACTCATAGCCATAGCAAAGTCATGACTAAAGTTGGATAAATATTCCATTCTCTGGATGCACGTTCCACTATGGCTCCTCATAAATCTTTTGCTTTCTTGGACTGAATCCACTGTTATTCTGCTCTGGTACTGAATGAGACAAAACAGTAACCACAACAGAGTTGAACAAATAATTCTAAAGTCTGCGGCGAGTCAAAATTCAAGTTCCCAATGCAATTTATTTTCTCCATCATTTAAACAGATTTAAAAAAATCCCACTACCACCAAATGGTACGAAAGCACTCTTTCTTCACTTCCAAGTGCCTAGATCATAGAATCCTAGAGTTGGAAGAGACCCCAAGGGCCATCCAGTCCAACCCTGTTCGGCCATGCAGGAACTCAAAATCAAAGCATCCCTGACAGATGGCCATCTGGCCTCTGTTTAAAGACCTCCAAAGAAGGAGACTCCACCACACTTTGAGGGAGCGTCTTCCACAGTCGAATAGCTCTTACTGTCAAGAAATTTCTCCTAATGATGAGCTGGAATCTCTTTTCCTGCAATTTCCATCCATTGCTCTGGGTCCTGTTTGCTGGAGCAGCAGAAAACAAGCTTGCTCCATCCTCAATATGACCTCTCTTCAAATATTTAAACAGAGCTATCATATCACCACTTAACTTTCTCTTCTCCAGGCTAAACATACCCAATTCCCTAAGTCGTTCCTCATAGGGCTTCATGGTTTCCAGACCCTTCGCCATTTTAGTCCCATTTAGATATGGCGCTTCTCTTGTTTCTACCAAACCTTTTCACCCCAATGCCATGCGCACAACAAGATGGACTGGCCAGTCTTCTCAAGGCTTGTGCAGAATGGGTGGTACTGGCAATTGTATTTGGGTCCTCCCTGCCCAGCATCACTTGCCAGCATCTGAGGTGGAGCTATAGGAGCGGAGGCAAAAATAAGAACTCTGCCTCCCCAAATGAAGTTTTCCTTTTGCCCCCAACTGTCTAGCTTTGCAGTAACTTAAAACTTCAGTTGAACATTTAGAAAATCGGAGTTTGGGCATCCTAAGAAAAAGAGCAGAGAAAGTGACCCAGGGATTGCAAAAGCAGCAAAGAGAAGAGCCCTGAATGTGGAAAATTTCATTGGGGGGCAAAAATTCTTATTTGGTGGTGCAATGCGGTCATTCCTCCCTTGTACTTGTAGCTAAATTGCCTGCCAATACCTACAGCAACCTAGGCTGACCATAAATACCATTTTAAAGGAGTACCATTTTCTAAAATAGTCTCAGACCGTCGCGTTGTTTTAATATAAATGTCGTTTTTGTCCTGTTTTCAAGGGGGGGGGGAGGAATGCCCTGTTATGTTGCAAAAATGGTTTGAAGATCCCTGTTTGAAATTGTGGTGTTCATTTGCAAGAGGTCAAGTGTCTACGACCCAAGTACTGTATACATTAGTTTCATTGAACAAGGTAATATTTCAGCTACCGAAGTGGTCATCAACATTGAAAATCTTGTAAATGATTTAGAGTCTAGAGAAAGTGAAGTGTTTGTAACTACTAAAACTTTGTCATGGAGTGTGAAAAGTTTTATGATAAGGTGTTGAAAGACTGAAATTTGATGCATAAGATTACTTCATTGGAGAAATATTCATAATATGATTGTGGTGAAAACCAGTCCCCCTCTACATGTACCTAAATTTTTTGTGTAAGTTCTGTCATTGAAGACTAATTGTTAGCTGAACATGGTCATGTAATAAAACTTTTGTTAGTGTCTTACTTTTTCATTCATACAGAATACAGTCGCCCCTCTGTTCTCACGGACTTGAGGTCCGCAGTTTTGAATATTCACAGAAGTGCGACCTCCATTAAGATAAATGGGGGCACCCCCATGGGCACACGCGCCATTCAAGCCTATGGGGCATGAATATTGGCGAGTCTCCATTTTTGCGGGGGTGTGTGTGTCCGGAACAGATCCCCCACGAAAATGGAGGGCGACTGTATTACATAACTCCATCCTGCTTTTGCCCTCTCAGTGTCCCATTGTTTGTCTCAAGGAAATATGGTCAATCTCCAGTAACTCCACTTCGGACTTCTCTCCATCCCCAGCTTGGTAGGATCTCTTCATTGCCTGCCTCTCATTCCCCAAAATCTAGGCCTCTTTAGCACTGCACAATAATAGCAGCTTGATATTACTTTAATTGCCATGGGTGCAGCCTATGAGATCTTGGGATTTGTAGTTTGTGGGGTGGTTTAAATGCTCTGCCAGATGGTTCAAGTGCTTAGTCAAACTGCAAGTCCTGAGGTTCTGTAGGGTGCATTCAAGGCAATTAATGGGTTGTCATTGTATAGTGCAAAACAGATGGTTGTGCAACCTGCGGTCAAGGAGCATCTGAGTGTGGTCAAGATGGTGAAAGTTATTAATAAAGAAGAACAGACAAGCTGAGAGAGGCTGCAAAAGTTGGTTTTTGCCTGAGCCAACTGGGAAGAGCAAAATTTTACTGCCTCCTTTCCTCTCCTCTCCCTACTGAGTTAATTGTGCAAAACTACTTTTGCACTTTGAATTCAGTCCGCAGCAATCAAAGTAAACTGGGGGCAAAGGGGGAAAGTGTGAGTAGGAAGGAGAAACCAGGACATTTTAAAAGCAACGGAAAAAGTCAGACAACTGAGGATTGATTGGGACTATCCCTGACAATTGGGACAGTTGGCGTTTATGGTTTCAGGGACTAATCCTGGTCTGCAAGTTGTTGGCTGCTGTTCTGCAGTGAGCTTTCAGTGAAGAAAGAAATAGTTGTAGTCAACTGGCACAAATATGGTGCTGGTTTCTGGCACATTTGGAAAAACACTCTGCTGGTCTCCCACAACAAATGGTTTAAGAAACACAGTCATTGTTGTTGTTAACTGTCTTCAAGTCAACTCAACCAATGGCAACCCTATGAATGAGAGACCTCCAAGTTGCCCTGTCCTCAGCCGCTCTACTCAACTCTTGCAGATTCATGGCCCTGGCTTCTCTGATTGAATCCATCCATCTGGAAAACGGTCTTCCTCTTCTCTTATCGCCCTCAACTCTACCAACCATTATTGTCTTTTCTAGTAAATCCTGTCTTCTCATGATATGCCCAAAATACGACAACCTCAGCTTAGAAGCCCTGCTGTAGGTTCCATTTCAGAGGAAGGCAACGGCAAATAACCTCAGAGTATTCCTTGCCTAAGAAAATCCTATAAGATTCATGAGGCTGCCCTAGGTAGAGAAGCTTCTTGAAGGCAAATACACACAGAGACATACAAACACATGACTTGTGGCTTTCTTCTTATTACACAGCAGAGTTCAGTGTTGGTTCACTTACCTTCTGAACGAAGCATTCACGGGTCAAAGTGAAGCCATGTATTTGCAAGCGGGACAATACCAGAAGCAAAACACAGACTGGTAAAGGTTAGAAACCTCTTTCTACTCCCTGCCACACCCCAAATACACAATTGGATCAAATTTGTTCTATCATATTGCAGAAGGGGTAGGCAATGTGCAACCATAGAGTTACATGTGACCCCCCCCCAGGATGTCTTTATTGCCCCCAACATCTCCAGAATCCCCACCTTTTCCTGCCCCCCCAAAAGGTAAATTACAAAAGTCTCCAATTTGCTTTCTAAATAGGTTTCAAAGCCTCCTTGTATTGCTTGAGATTTTAAAAGATACCCATTTTTGAGAACCAGAAGCAGACTTCCATCTACTTTGGATTTTTAGGGAGGAAGTTGGTAGTTCATGCGGCCCTTGGAGGGTGCAAGGTTGTAAGAGTGGCCCCCAGACGGCCACAGTGAACCATCAAAGAGTGGCGTGGGTCAAGCCTCCTCTTTTGGGGATGCGAAACCTCACAGCCCAAAGATCTGGCGCCCCACTCCATGCAACCAAAAGGAAAGTCCATACCTCGGGCATCCCACAGTTTGTACGGTTGGTGGGGAAATCCCAAGGGAAAATGATGATTCTGCTGGACATCCTTTTTCTAGGATTTTGGTAGGCAGAGACCATTCAAATGTCTTCCGCTTCTCCCTGTATGCCCTGAATGGCAGTGAAGTGAACCGATGGCCAACTTTTACAAACATCCTCATTGGGTTCTGACAGCAACATCCATTTTCAATTGGAAAATCCTCAAGAAGAGATCTGGGTCTTGTGCTAAAGTGAAGTACACAAGGCCTTTGCTAGGCTGCATCAAAAGCCTCTCCATGAAGAGAATAGTAAGCTGCAGGGTGACCAGACGTCTTCCTTTTCCAGGACGTGTCCTACATTTCAGCCTTCTGTCCAGGAGGAATTCCAAAATGTCCTCCA